AAAAAGGTAGGACCTAATACACAGGATTGAAACGAAAGTCCTATCAATCAAAATTGAGGAATCCAAAAGTCGCTAAATTTCAATGTAAGAGAGTTTTGTACTAAATTTAGGTAGAATAATTTGGTGAGATTGTCGACATAAACCAAGTTAGTGATCTCACCTTCCAAAGAATTCCCTGACACATCAAACTGCTATAAATCTAATAGATTTTAAACTGTTTTTGGTATAGGCTCTTTCAAATGATTGTCACTAAGACGCGGTGCTTAAAGGGAATTCGTTATTCTACCAAGACCATTTGGAAAGGGACCTTCTAAAAGATTTTCACAGAAGCTGAGGTATGCAATACTAGAGTTTAAGTGGAATAACCATGGAAATATGGATAATGTAAACTTGTTATAAGATAGATCATGATCAATTAGGGAATTAGAAAAATTGAACTGGGAAGGAAGCACCATAGGAAGGTCCATGCTCGAGAGACTAGAATTTACAAGACATAAAGCTTCAAGTTTTGGTAGCTGACCAATTGTTTGCAACCAATTTTTGGGCTTTTTAAGATTTGACACACTGTCAAGAGAAAGTACAATCAAAGAAGAAAGGCTAGAAATCCATTGACAATTCTCAAGACTTTGAATGTCAATTTAGAGATTATCATTTTGTTCTAAATCAAACCTTTGAAATGTCAAAAATTTACCCTTCAATTACACACTTTCATAGCTTCACAAAGCTTGAATAGTGCCAATAAGTGATTAGTCTACAAATTAATCACATTAACTATCATTAATATCCTTTTTATGATAACTAATGTTTACTCCCCATGCGTTGCAGCATTTCCTTATATTTAATATATTTGAAAAATTATTTAAAATTAATTAGAGTTAACATAATATTTTGGAATTATTTCTTGTAATTTTAAGTGTTTTCTTACAGGTAGTACCTTTAAACAAAAATGAGATTACTGCATTCGATTGGCTTTTGTCATAGATACAAATGAAATATGAAAATAATAGAACTATGATAAAGTAGATGAGCATTTGGAATGTGCAGAATAAAATCACAAATTATTTGTGGGATTACAATAGTTTATTGTAATAAATGTTAACTATCAATGAAATTACACATCCATAGGAGCCATTTAGGCTTGATAATGTTAACTCATGCATTTACTTCATGTCGCCCCTGAAGCCATTACATTATGATTTTAACAATAAAACACAATATATTACTTTCATATTTGAAAATAATTAAGTGCAACTTAAGTTTTATAAATCTATGAAGATAGTAGTTTAGCATTTACTCGAGAAAAATATATTTAAATAATCATTAAATATTATGCATTGACATCATGATCAATTAAAATAACATAACAAATAACAATAACTACAACCACAAAGGGAAGTAATATTCTCAAAATGAATTAATATATGCCATTATTAATTGCATGAGAATTATCTCTACACTTGATACAAATGATATGAGAAAATAATGTTATTGTGATAAATTAGATGAACATTTGACATGTAATAAAATTATACTTTTGTAGCACTAATTTTTGAAAAGAGAATGAAAGTTAAGTCCTAGAAGAATGAAATAATGACAGTTAGGTCATTGACAAATTTTTTTACAAAATGAATTATAAGTATCAACTCAAAAAGTTATAAACAAAAATTTCTGTTGCAGTTTAAAAATTATATTTTATATTTAAATACTTATTTGCAATTGAAACTCTTGAATTTGTAATAATTTGGATTAATATTTTTAACTTATTTTTCAAAAAAATTTGTCGAAGACTTAACTAGTATTAATTCAGTGTTCTGGACCTAACTGCTATTCTCTCTAAAAAATCATGTTTGCTTATCACCCTCCCATAGGAAAAAAAAAACGAATAGGGATTTGCTAGATATACATCTCCCATGACATTATTTTTGGTAATACAATAAGAATAGAACTCCCCTAAATAAACTACCTCCTCACCTTTTAAGGACTAAAACTACACCTTAAATTCAATTCAATCTATGATACTTATTCAAACTTTATTGTAATTCAAATCAAACTCCTAAACATTTCAAAACAGAAATACTATTCAAGTATTTACTCCATGTGCGATACATGTAAAAGTTGGACTTAAATAATGGTCAAATACAATACATTGTCCAATTTCAAGAAAAATATATTTAAATATTTTAGAGATCGTTTACATTATACTTTAATGTTGATCACAATCTCACTCAATATTTCTTCAACAGAGTGATGTATTGCATCACTTCTTTGCATTAGCAAAACAACCCTAGCACAAACACTTACAACAATCAAATGATGAAAAAGATAAACCCCATAATATTTTGTTGATGATCTATTGCCATGAACGATAATCCTAAATGCTGGCCTAAGTCTGGCCAAATCAGATAGCAAAGCTTTTGAGTGAATTCCATCATCAATAGAAATGATAAAAGGCTTGCAGAATCACATTGTTCTTGTTTTCCCCTTCAATGTTTACACCCTTCTCTTCTTTTAATCGTCATATATAAGTAATTTTTTTAAAAAAATATTAGTTTGCATCACACTTTTTCCCGTCCCCTTTTTTTCTTCCCTTCATTATTTTATCCCTTTTATTTTCACCATCCAATTTTATCCCTTCACTTATTCAACTCAGCAATCATAAAAATTTTCTCTTTTTTATCTTTATTTCTTCTGTTTTTTAACCTGAAATTCATCTTTTTTATTTGCTTCATCATAAACTTACCTCTTTATTTTTGGTAGCAGTGCATACATGACACACCCCGTAATATGGGAATGACCGGCATGAGACATGCACCTAAACACACATCCCTTAAGCCTAATTCAAGAAATGTTTCATTTTAAATATACTTTTCCTTTAGTTAAAGCCTTAATATTTTAGGGAAAATTCCAACAAGCTCTCCCTTGGGAATAGGATTTCATCAAAATTTTTACAATTCAAATTTTTTAAAAAACATTATATCATCTAGGAGCTCAGCTCCTTCAAACTAGGAGATGAGATATTACAAAATAACACCCTAACCATAGCTTATATGGAGAACTTATAAAATTATTTATAAAAGTACAATATATAAATTAAAATTTTACATCAAAAACAGAGATTAACTAAAATGATGTCTCAACTTCAATCCAATAGCAAACTCGCTTGAATGATCTAATGGAGGTGCAGGCTGTCTAAGACCAAAAATATTTTCTAGTGAATAATGTCCCTACCATAACATTTTGCAACATTAAAGTGAATATAATAAAATATAATGGTTACATAAATTAAAGAAAAAGTATTTCAATGTAAGGGAATTTGTAAGTTCAAAATAAAAGTTCTATATAACTTCAATCTGAAAAAAAACTTTAAATTTATAATGGCAAAGCATCTTTAACATTTGATATTGACAAGTCAAAATAATTATACATAAATGAAAATTCTAATATTTGTTAATTAAAAATCATTAGAGTGTGAAATCATCAATTAATTAAAAATTCATATTTTTGGGGATTTATAAGAGCAGTTCACAAACGTGGATACACAGTTCACAAGAGTAAATAACCATACGCGACTCATACCATGAAAACAAACGTGGACACACAATCTACGAGGGTAAGTAACCAAATGCAGCATAAGCTACAAAACAAACGTGGACACATTCCACAAAGATAATACTAACCAAATATGGCTCAAAGCTATAAAAACAAATGCAAGTATGAGACCCATGAATAACAAACGTGAGAATAAAACTCACAAATATCAAACTAGCTAGTCTTTCACCATGGCGCGCTAAGGGCTAACGGCAGCAACCAGTGTTCTATATAAAATCTCCTCCAAATCCATTTTCAAACATGTGAGAAAGTTATCACTATCAAAATACAATTTTCATTCTCAAAATCAAACTCACATGAAGAATTTTGAGCATTAAAACTTGCCAGAGTAAACTTTCATAGTTGATGTCCATGCTCACATTTATTGAGAAACTAATATTACCAAAGTTGATAAAAATAATTTTATCAATTTGTAAGAAAAAACACACACATTATAATTCAAATATCCTTCAACATCTCTTTACCATTTCATAAGGTAAAAATAATTTAATTAACAATGTATTAAATATGTTATATAATTGTCATTAAATGATTTGTGTAACAAAAATATCTAAAAAAAAAGAATTTAATTGATAAAATCAGTTGGGACACTATCCACTTACCTGAAGTTTTCTCAATGCACAATATTCTCTTCTTACCACATTAATCAATTTTCTGTCCTTCCAATTTCCTATAGAATATATTAGGGTCTTAATAAATTTCTAACAATACTCAAAAACTCTCTTCCAACATTAATACATCCTCTCTCTCTCTCTATATATATATATATATAACGATAATAAATTTAAAATTTTGGGACTAAGGTTTACACAAAAGTTTCTTCATGGACATAACTAAGTCTCAAGCTACTCAGAAGAACTTGTAACATTAAAACCTCTTATCACATAATCTATCAACAACTAATTTCACAATTAAATTTTCTTTACAGTCTTCAAGTTTATTCATAGATCAATAACACATACGCTCATATACTTCTCATAGGAGCCAATGAAATTTTAGAAAAATGCAAGCAAAATCAAGCAAAGCACTTCTAACAAGCATTTTATCAAACATCTCATGGACATTAATCATTATGCTAATATTAACCTTTTTCCTTTCTAATTTCACCTCTCCAAAATTTTACACTATCAATATTTTAATCAATAATCCAATCAGTTTAAGTTAAAACTCCAACCTACATCATTATCGTCTTCTTTTCTTCATTTTTCATTTTGCCAAATTTCATTTCCAGTCAACAATCAATCCAATTCAAGAAACAAGTACTATTCTTCCTCCATCACACATGATCAGTATCTTAATTAAAAGAAAGACAATTCTAGATTCCAACAAACCAACACAATCACACAAACAGAGACTAAACGATGGAGGAAGGAGAGATGAGGTTCACTCACCAGCAGAGCGAATGAGGCTAGACCAAGGAGAGGGATAAATCAATGTTAAGGAAATGGCCCAAACATAGAGCTCACTCATAGGCACAATCCAGCACCAAGCAGAAAAAGGGAGAAGATTAAGGCTCTCACCAGCCACACGCACGATGTAGATGCAAAACAGGGGAGAATAGTTGGGTCTTGGTTCAGACTATTAAAGACTGAGAAATGGCGAGACACACCTAAGCGATTGTTGGTAGTGGTCTGAACCACGAATGAAGTTGGAGAACGCGCAGAAGAGTTTCGATCTCTGGCCCTCTTTGCAACTCAGAACAAGATCGAAGACAGAGGAGGATGAGAGGTTGTGACTTGAAGCCCTTGCATTAATGGTTGGGACTCTCTCTCTCACATACACACACTGATAGCAGCTGTAAACGGTGGGGGAAGAAGAAGACGGGAGAAAATGAGAGTTCCAGACTTCTCTTGTCCGGTTCTAGAAACGTGATTGGAAAAGAAAAGGAAACATAAAGAAAAGAAAAGAACGCGAGCTCTCTCTCTCTCTTCTGCACATACCACCGACTAAGAGGAGCAAGAAAATAAAATAATAAGCTTTTTGAAAAAATTACAAAACATAACCCAAACTTTGTTGAGAAAATTTCAAAAGAAACCGTACTAGATTTTTATTTATTTACTTCTTTTATTTTGACTTATTTTATTTTAATTATTATAATATTTATATAATAAGAAGCAAGGCACTTTAGTACTTTTTTATAAATAAAAATAAAAATAACATTTGGCTAAAGTATGGTTTGAACTCTAGATGTCCATACGTATAATCAATATAAATTCGACTAGGTTATCACTCTTCATTTATCATAAAATTATAATAAATAAATAAATATCAATTGGAAGAAAATTTTATTTAATTTAAAATTTATGGTCATTATAATACAATTGTTACTGACCATTACTAAAATGAAAAATTCAAATAATTTATAAGTTATTTTTATTTGAACTTCAATATTTCATTTGCTACATATGAAATCTTTCTTTTTATTTTATCAAGATCAAATGAATAATTCATCTAATTTTAAGCAATATTACATTTGTTTTGACCATAATAAAAACAATATATGATGATTAAATTAATTATTAAGGAAATCATTCTTCGCCTTATCATGATTCATTAATATCGGTGACATGAATTAATTACCTTTCACTTTACTTTTTCCTTTCAAAAGAGGACACTTAAAACAGAGCTGCCCATGTCATCTTTATCAACTCAATTAAGTTGGCTGCCTATCGATTCTTTCACGGTACTGCATGGGATCCCAGTTAGCTTCAGACCTTGCTTACTTTATCCAAAACTTAGGTTGCATGGAGATTGAAGTAGCAACTCACAATTTAACATGTAAAGAGTGAGCATAGAGTGAAGACTTCTTATTATTGATGCAACCTATAACAATTTTCCTTTTCACAGGTGAGACTTTAAAGTGCAAAGTGCAGACTTCCTTTTCCAAGTTTATAAGACGAAGCATGAATATAAGGGGCTTTTCTAATTCTCTCTCTCCCTTTTGCTTTTTTGGCTACAGGTTCAGAACCTAATGTCACTTTAGTGCAATCAGGTTTCCTGTTCCTTTTTTTTGGGCCAAAGTTTCATCTCCCTGTTTAAAGTGAAAATGTAAAAACATGTCAATCTAAAAAATTTTAATTCAGCACATGTATCCATATAGAACTTAAAAAAGAGACCCTTTATATGATAGCTTTCTATACCACTAATTAAATTTCAAATTCATGTTTGCTCGTTCCCAAGAAAAAAATAGTTAATTATTACAAGAAAATTGATCTGAGTGGAGGGTATCCAATACTTGAGTGCAATCAGATCATAAGTTCTTATAGCTTTTCCTTACACGCACGCGCACGCATAGATGACCAAGCACATCATGAAAACAAACAAACAAACAAAATGAAAAAAAAATAAATATTAATTAAAAATATTGAACTCCTTTAAAATAAAGGTTCAAACATAGTCCTTGATATCAATTTCACATGATATATAGGCCTCAGTTCTCAAAATATTTAAGTGTAATCACATTTGAATCTTGCCATACAAACATTTTCTTTCTTGCCATTCAAGCATAATCTTTCCATCTACACTTTGCCTCCATGCAATCTCTAAAAAGATGTAACTCATTCTCCACATTGGTACAGCCAAAAGGGAAGCGGTTTGTGTCTGAAACTATATTTCACAAAATTGGCATTATCACATATGCCAATAAAATAAATAAAAAAGAAGCTACTTTCTTATATGAAGCAAAACATGGTAAGTAAAATAAGGCAAGAATACCCTGCACATATAGAAAAGTTAATGAACCTCTAAATGCTTTATACAATAGCAGTTTGACTTCCTAAGGGGTGAAACAGCATACCATCAAAATGGCATTGGTTGGGAGAAGATAATGGCATATAAAAGTCTCATAATAGAAGTCTACAATATATCATTAAAATGGCATGGAGTCTTAGAAAAGTTGACAATTCTGTTCATTTTTATAGTTAAAAATTAGTATGCTATATTTAAAGTTGATGCCTCCATGTCTATTTAAGGACCCTCAAGAGTTTATGATAGGGACGCGGAAGCAGAATCGTGCTAGTTTAGGGACAGAACCCTGAAACAACAAAAACACAAGAACAAAAAAAGAAAGGGACGAAATTTATGACGGAAATAAAGAAAGGTATGAAGGAAACAATAGGATAATGATTAAGGAGAAGATCCTCTAGAGCACCTGCCTCTAGGAACCTCAACCTTCGAAGACACCACAAGAGTTGATCACGCTCTTGATCACGTCGGTTTCTCATACGGGATACCACCACAAAGCACTAAGGCTCACAAGAGTTATAAACTCTAAAATGAATAATTTCATTCAACTTCTGTGTTGCTTACAATAGGGAGCATGCCTAATTTATATAGGCTCATAGAAAAATATTTCCTAAAATTAAAACCCTAATTTCCTGATACTAAAAGGAGAAATAATATAAAATAATGATAAAATATTCAGCCACATAATTTAGGAGATGTGATCTTAAAATTATGGGATTACAAAATTTAGAAATTAATATTATAATTAATTCTAACCTTTGACTAGACTCAAAATAGAAAATCAAATCAAAGGACCATTAAAATAGGAATTAATTTACGAGACAATCAAGGGATCATAAAGGATTTAAAATTACACCACCCTTGACTTCTTTACTAGGGTTTCATGCCTCCTTACTTACAAGACGCTCAACTTGTAGTCTTCATTGCATTGGGCTAAGGTCTGCATCTTTTGGGCTTGACTCTTCATAAGTTTGGATCCTAAATACATTATACACGTATAGATGCTCTCCTTTGGGCTTGAGAGGAGTGCCCCAATGCTCTCCAAGCTCTTGAACTTCTTGCACAAGACTAAACAAGGCTTGCTTTATGGCTTTAGTTCGGGCTCTTGTCATTGGACCTCCAATATATTGTAATGGGTCTTTAGGTACGTTGGATTGGAAGTATTAGGTTCCTTCTATGTTACCATGCTCATGATTACCATCCTCAAGCTTCGTTGCCATTAATGCTACGTCACCTGTGCCATGGGGTCCATCAGTTTAGGCATGAAAACACTTTGTTATCCAATAATCATAAACAACTGCAAAAGGTTTGCTCTCGCTTTGCTTTCAGTTTTCTTGGTACTGGTTATAAACTATACCAAACAAAGTAGAAGCACTGTTAAATTAGAGTCCAAGAGACTTTTCCCAATGTATTGGGATATTGGAAAATTAACCATTATTTTTAAGGGAATGAATAGGTGGCAATCTTATTTAAGGGAGTGAATATATGGCGCCTGAACACAGTGAACTATTTATCAGTGTATTAACTTTACCAGGAAAAAATGTTCTCAAGTTGGAGAAGCACAAGAAAGCTACATTCATTTGTTAAAAAATCCTTTTTGAACCGCAACTTCTTAAAGCCTAGCAAGGAAGATTGCTACCTAATCCTTTACGACATGTATTAATACTATAATAACATACTCAGGTGACTTTCTTCCTTAGAAGGAATGCATGGCACCTAAACATATGTGGAAAATATGATCCATATCAATTTCCAAAATGAAGAGGGAATCAACAGAGGTAAGATTCAGCATCTAGAAAAGTGTTAAATAAGATGGAAAAAATAGAAAATAATCACACAAGCATTAATCATACAGTAAGCCATAATCTTATATGGTTTAGACATCCAATAAAGAGGGATACAATGTTAAAAAAAATGTAATATGAACCAAGGAATTTCCTAGCTAATGGGTGAAAAAGGCTGAGTTGACAGTGACACCATTCTCTTACCAACGTTTAATGGAGGTCATTATGGGAATGAAGTAATCTTTACAATTGTGTCCCGTACTGTCACTGTCAAAACTTGGCATTTTTTTGATGAAAAAGGCTTTGAATTTTACCAACACAGATAGTTATACTTATGCTATATATTTTTAATCAAATTTATTGTTGTTGATTTTACCTTAAATTCCTTCTTTACAATACTTTTAAAGATTCAGAAGTTTAACTTGACACACTACAATGTGGTTTCAGAGATTATTGACTTTTCATCATTTCAAATTTTTAAATGATGGCCAATGTAACATTCACACTCTACTAAATACATTTAATGAATAAAGCTCATGGTAATCGAGGGGTTAGCTCTGAAGAGTGATTACTAAAGGTTTAATCTAAAAGTAAGGGATCCCAAGTTTTCTAAATAGAAACAAGTTAAAAATCGATCAAAACCTTTTATATCAGAGTAAAAATAAGTTTCGGAAGCATAGGATACCTTAAAGGAGTGAAAGAAGTCAAAAACGGTTGAAAACAAATTATGTATTGAAATATAGAGCAATGTGCCACAACGAACGCACTCTACACCATGACATGTTACTCTCTATGCCATGCACCACAGCTCAGGCACCATGCACCGTGGTGCGTTGCATGAATTTTTCATTGGTTTTGCTATCAAAATGACAGTAGAATCGGAGAACTTCTGACTCATCTCGATTCTCCGTCCGACATCCGAATGACGTGATCTAGGTGTCTACAGAAAGCTCTTTTCCTGTACTAACTAATGGAATGGGTTTACTTCCAAAATAAGTCACAGTAGGAAGTTGGATACCTAAACACATTTTAACCACTTTTTAACACTTTTACACAAAGTGGGTGTCCAAAACCCTCAACAAGTTCCAAAGGCCTTTCCTAACACCTGGACCATGTCCAATGGACCTAAGACTACTAGTACAACATGTCACAAGCATCAAAATATCATTATAATAAAAATTCACTCCTCTACCCCAATTTAACAAAAATAAAGGGGGAGGTAAATTTACATTACATTTAACTCAAATCATTCGAAACATGCTCAAACATATCCATTTATTTACTCCCTCTGTTTAAAAGGATAAGGCAT